CTTCTACCAGGCGGTGCGCGACCAGCTGCCCGTGTGGCTGCTGGAGGACATGCGCGCCAGCGAGGCCTTCCACTGGGACGAGCGCGGGCTCGCCACCGCCTACTCGCCGTCCGAGGCGCTGCTCTACGCGCTGGTGCACGACCACCAGGCCTACGCGCACTACCTGCTGGCCACCTTCCCCCGGCGCGCGCTCGCGCCGCCCAGCGCCGGCTTCCGCTGCTGCGCCGCGCCCGGGCCGCACGTGGCGCTGGCCGTGCGCTACAACCGCGTGGGCATCCTGCGCCGCGTCCTGCGCACCGTGCGGGACTTCCCGGCCGAGGAGCGCGCGCGCCTGCTGGACCGCCGGGGCTGCGGCCGCGTCGAGGGCGGGGGCACGGCGCTGCACGTGGCCTGCGAACTGGCGCGGCCCGAGTGCCTCTTCCTGCTGCTCGGCCACGGGGCCTCGCCCGGCCTGCGCGATGGCGGGGGCCTCACGCCGCTTGAGCTGCTGCTGCGCCACCTGGGCCTCGATTCCGGGGCCGCCCCTGCCCCCGGGGCGTCCGCTGCGCCCGGGGAGGCGCGCCAGCGCCACCTGCTGCTGCTGCTGGACCTGCTGGTGCTGTACACGCCCGCGGCCGCCCGCCTGGCCCGCTGCGAGCTGCTGGGCGACCGGCCGCGCTGGCAGCGGCTGCTGGGCGAAGACAAGTTCCAGTGGCTGGCGGGCCTGGCGCCGCCCTCGCTCTTCGTGCGCGCCATGCAGGTGCTGGTCACCGCCATCTCGCCCTGCCGCTTCCCCGAGGCCCTGGATGAGCTGCCGCTGCCGCCCTTCCTGCAGCCGCTGGACCTCACGGGCAAGGGCTAGCCCCGGGCGCCCTGGGACTGGACGTGGGAGAGCACTATTTTCGGAGGTTGTACTGGCACTTTACATACACTGACCGCTGTACGTTAGACTCTGCCTCGTCTGTCCCATCGTGGGGCCGGGAGGGTGGCAGCTGGGCTCCAAGCCGCAGGTTTTCTGAGTCTGGCTGGGCTCAGTGCGTGACCTCCCTGCGCAGAGCGGGGTTGAGGGATCAGTGGCTCCCAAGAGCAGGCCTTGACCTCAGCTCACTGCCCAGCCTGAGGAAGGTGAGGGCCAACCTTCCACCCTCATCTCTCGATTCTAGAACCTCCTGGAAGGTTATCCCTCTGGGAGTGACCGCTAAGCTGAGCCGGGCTGTGGACTGACAGCAGGGGGCTGGGTCTGGAGGGCGAGGAGGCCAGGAAGGCTGCTACAGGGGGAGGTGTGCCCCAAGCTGGTCCTCCCTATCCCATTGGCACCTGCCCCCTCCCACACTGGGTGTCACTGTGACTTCCCCACCAAACCTGGTCTCCCCAGGCCTGGCCTCGTGCTGTCACCCCCTTTTTTTCTCCCTGAGGATGAGCAGGCACCCAGCCTGGGCTCCTGGCCCAGCTCCACCCCCTCAGGTGGGTTGGCTGTGCCTTGACCCGCCCTCAGTCCCCCAAGGTGGGCCTCCCAGGGGGTGTTAGGTGGTGCCCAGGGTGGTGTGGCTGCATCGCCCAGTGGCAGCCTGCGATGTGGTACCTCCCCTCTCACCCACAGGCGTCAGTCCCCAGTGAGGCTTGTGGAGGCCGTGCCCAGCCAGTAGAGCTGGTTTCCGCAGGCAGGTTCTCAAGGTGCAGACTGGCCAGCAGATCTGTCACAGCCTTTCAGGGAAAGGGGCCCTGGCGGAAAAGCGGGGTCCATGCCCAGGCGCCTTGGACCAGGAGCACAGCCAGGCTGCAGGGCTCAGGAATTCTGGGCCGTGAAATTCAACCCGGGGGTGGCAGCCACGGTGTTCTGCCAGGAGCTGAGGGCTAAAGGTGTGCATGACGTGGTCACCAGCCTGGCGGGGCACCCACTGCCCACCCTGCCCCAGCGTCCCTGACGGGGGCATGCCTGGGGGCCAAAGAGGCTTTGGTGGCCATAGGACGGGATACAGAAGGGGCCTGGGTGCAGGAAAGTCTTGCTTGTGGGACCTGGTTCTGGCCTGCACCTACCACTCACTCTCAGAGTGACCTGGGACACACCCCTGTATCCCGAACTTCTGTGTCCCCATGTTTTCAAAGTGTTTTGGACCATCTCCAAGCTCTGCGTGCCCTGAAAAGGATGTGACCCCAGTTCTAGGATGTGGGGGGTGCACAGGCCTGGTGGGAAGGAGGGGGTAAGGGTTTGCAGCCAGTGGCTGATCCTGGGCTCTGGGTGGGAGTGAGGGCCCCTCCGCCCCATGTGTCCTGGGCCAGTTGGGTAGCTTCTCTGAACCTTGACACGGGGCAGGGGGCGGGGGTGTTGGATATTCACCTCTCCCAACTCAAAACGGCCTCAGGAGCCCCTGGTTCCTCTACACGGCCCCAGTCCTGCCGCTGTCAGGGAGGGGACATTTCCTGAGGGGAGACGGGACGGGGAGCCGAGTGTCTAGAACAGGTCACGGTGGCTCTGGGGGTGAGGGGGGAAGGGGCTTGGAGCCCTGATGCTGGGCACCTGGCGGGGGACCTGGGCCTGCAGACTTCCTCTTAGTTTCCCCAGCGCCAGCTCTGGCCTCCGAGGGGCTGGTCCAGGGCCCAGGCCGAGGTCCCCTCTCACTCCCCCTCTTCGGGGACAACCTCCTTTGTGCCCCCTGGGCTGGGACTGGGGTGAGGCAGGGGCAGGGGGAGCTGTCCATCTCAGGGCTCCCTGAGGCCCTGCAAGGGGGATGCCTCTCATTGTCAGGCAAGCAGAGGTGGCACCTGGGCTGGTCCTGGAGTTTGGGGCAGGATCCCAGCAGGAGGATGTGGGTGGCACAGAGTGGGGAAGGCCAGGGCCCGAGTGGAGCGGTTTGGTTTGGGGTGAGCAGGGGATTGCACCCTCATTTCTTGGGTGACATTGGGGTTCCATCTCAGCACCCCTTGGAGGAGTGGACAGGAGGGGGGCAGCCCGGGCATCAGCCCAATGTCCTCGCTGAAGGGAGAGGGAGCCCAGGCCAGCTCACAGACCTGTGACAGCCCAGAGGGCAGGGCCTGGTTCTGGGCATGGCCTCCACAACCATCACTGGGGACTGACGCTTGTGGGTGAGAGGGGAGGTGCAGGGCAGATAAGGGTATCTGGTGGCCGCTGCTGGCCAGGAGGGGGGGAGGGTTGGAGGGGAGGGAGGGCAGGCCCAGCTTGGGCTTATCAGCCGGCTGAGCCCTCCAGCCCCCGGGAGGCAGCAAGCACAGGGGCCCCGCCCGTCACCATGACCGCCTGGTGATGAGCGTGGAGTCTGGGGACAAGGCGGCCAGGCCCAGCCAGGGCCCCCTGGTGGACAGCAGCTCCACTCTCAACCCCTGGCAGGCGGGCTCATTGGCTTCTCTGCCCACAATAGGCCCCTCTTCTCTGCAGTGAAGTGCTGGTTCGTTTGCCGAGTTTGTCCATTCCTCCAGCCTTTCACAAGAAAATCTGACTGTGGCCAACTCGGTCCCCCAGGCCCATCCAGGGGCCTAGTGAACCCAGCCAGGAGGCCGGAATCTGTACCCTGGACACCTGTTGGTATCATGATCTGCCCAGAGCCTGAAGGGACAGCACAGGACACTGCGTGCTGTCGGGTGGCCTGGGGGGATGCCAGGAGGGCAGGCTGCAGGGCCCTGGTGACGTGACCCTGTGCTGACCTCGCTGTGCCTCTGCAGCCTCGCTCACCCGAGGTTACTCTTTCCCCCAATTTCCATCCCGCCCCCCCTTCTTAAACTTTCAAATACTGTCCTGAGAGCAGTTTCCAGTCACCCCACATCCTGCTCAGAACAAGGCGTGTCCTGGACGTCGGGATGGAGGCTGTGTAGCCTCTGGACCCGATTCACAAGCAGTGACCGGACAGAGCCCGCCCCGCAGGGATTGGTTTTGGCTACATGTTAAATGGAGGCGCAATCGACGGGTAATAAATGCACAGACTTGGAGTGTATAGTCTGAGGGAGGACAAATGTCTACACACATGTATCCACCCCCCCGTCAGGACAGGGGAAGACAGGTTTCTACCTTGGCTGAGGTGAAGGAATTTAGCTTATAGAATCACGCTCACGGCGGACCCCCGACTCTGCAGAGAAGCTGGGGCAGGGTGGGCGGGGCCCGCCTGGAGACACCCACTGCCCAGCCCAGCCCCCAGTCAAGAGGCCAACCCACACCCACCCCCCAGACACACTGCTAGCGTTCGGTGTCTCCTTCCTGTGTTTTCCATTAGTGTATATACGGGTATTTTTCCTATGCATGTTGTTACATACATGACACCATGGCACACAGTATTTTTAAACGCACGCAGCATAAGCTATATTGTACACCCTGGGAACATGAGTTTGACGAAGTCTTTGGTGGTTATTTCTGAGAGCACAGAGAGAATGCTAGCGAGGACTGCGCTTTAAAATGCAAGTTTTACTACTTTTGGAATAGAAATCTACGCGGCTCGGAATTCAACACCTGCACACAGGTTTGTGCGCAGCAGCCTGCGTGGTGGGCTCGCTCCTCTCGGGCCTCGGGCGCCATGGAGCGGAGGCTCTCCACCCGCCAGTGAGCGCGCAGCCTCCTCCCGAGTGGCCTCTGAGGGCACAGCAGCTGCCGCCCAGGAGCCAGGCTGCCCAGTGGATGGGCTGCCGCGCCCGCTTGCCCGAGAGCCTGTGCCGTGGGCTCCAGTCCGACGTGGGCTGTGCTGCACGTCAGGCTGTTTGCCGGCCCAGGACTCGGACTGAGGGCAGTGTCCGGGGTGGAGTCCTGGGTGCGAAGGTTTCGAGGCCGCTGCTGGGCTGCCAGGGGCTCCCCCACCCTCGGCCCCTGCCCCTCCTTTGTCCATCCGGTCTGAGGCGTCCCTCCTCCCGGTGCAGCCAGTGCGAGGGTGTGTGCGCAACACCGCGCCCCGGGTGCCATTTCCCTTCAGTGCACGTGGCTTTAATCTGCAGTATTTCCCCTGAAGAAATCAAATCCATTTCCTCTGCGCTTTCCCCACCACTGAGGTCAGAAAGCCCTTGCACCCAGAAACCGGACACCATTTAATCCACCTCAGGTTTATTTTGTGCCAACAGCTGAGCAGTGGTCCACGGGCTGTGAAGTCTCACTCGGCCCCCTCAGCCCGATGCCACCTGCATGGTGCAACCCCTGGGGGCCTGGCTGGGCTGCGGGGTGTCCCTGCCCCCCGCCCCATCCTCACTCCTCTTCCCAGGACAGTGAGGGTGCTGAGTGGGTGGCCTGGGGCGCCAGAGCTGGGCTCCATGTCAGCAGAGTGAGTTCCGTGACTGAGTCTCACCTGCAGGCCCGCGGAGGGCGGAGGGCGGAGGCCGGCAGGGGCATTTGTGGTGAACAGGCGTTATTTGGGAGCGCCTCCTGCCCCTCCCACGTAGAAACCACGCGGGGGTCCTGACAAGCTGATGGAGGAGCGAGTCCCTGTGGGAAGCCGAGGCCGCAGTGCCCCTCCCCCGCCGGGAATCCGCGGCTCTCCTACTTCCAGCCCTCAGTCCTCCATGTCTGCTGACGGGATGTGACGCTGTCAGCCTCCGGCCCAGGTGCCCTGCCGGCCGGCACGTGGTCTTTCTCCGTGTGCTGGTCCCAAAGGGCACTGCTCACCCTTGTTTCCTGGATGGAGGTTTAGCCCCGGCCTCAGTGCCTCCGTGAGCAGGCGGCCTGCACTCCGCCTCCCGGGATCAGGGGCACAAGCCCCTGTGGGGTGACCCCTCCCGCAGGCCCGCCACCCTCGGCAGGCCGGTGTGCATGTCACGTGGGTCGGGGCAGGCGATCACATCCGCTGCACTCTGCGGGCAGTGGGGTGGGTGGGCAGGGACCACATGACCTCCACGAGTGCCCAGAGGACACCTGGTCACGGCTCAGACACAGGCTTGACCCGGCGTGGAAAACGTCCAGTTCGTTGCACTGTCTCAAGCACGACCCAAAGTCAGAACCAGGGAGAAACCGTGCCCAGCACTGCAGCTCTATGGTCAGCGCATCGAGGAGACGGGGTGATGCGTGGAAGCGCGCGGGCCTGGAGGAGCCTGCTGTCCGTAGAGCAGTGAGGCCCGAACTCGCTGCAGCCCCCAGGCGGCCCTCTGCTGTCACCCAACCCTAAGGAAGGACCTACGACAACGAGGTGTGCAGCAGCATCGCCCCAGCTGCCTGTCCTCACCGGGACCTGCAGGACCCTCTCCACCGCTGCCTGGTGCCCTCGGAGGATGCATCTCCCTGCTCGCCACCCAGGTCCTGGGGGCTCGACATGCTTGCGTTAGTAGGAAACAGGCCTCGAGTGCCTGGGCCCTGGGCAAAGGGCAGCTAAAACCAGCAGCGGCCAGAATGGGCAGCTGTGTCCAGGGGAGGGGGCTCAGGGTGGACGCAGGCTGGGCTCCAAGTCCTACAGCTCAGGTGCCAGCGAGGTGACTGGGCACTGCAGGCTGACCCATGAACTGACGTCTGACGGGGCCACAGCAGCCGACCACAGCAAGCACTAACCTAGGGATCAGCCCAAATGCCGTGACAGTGCGGCTGCACTGGGAGGCAGCGGCAGGCCCAGGGGCTCCCCACACAAGGATGCACAGGCGACGCCCACTGTCGGACGCGGCAGCTGAGGCTGCGGGCTCGGGACAAACCCCGGAGGGAGCGAGGCCTTCCGCGGGCTTCAGGGACTAGGTTTCTCTCCTAAATCTGACATTTCATTCCTAACGAGGTATCTTATGCAGGTTTGTACAACAAACAAAAAGGCGACAACTGTAGATTGCTCCTGAGGGTGCCCTAGTCTTGTGCCCTGCAGCACGAGCTGCACAGACTCCTGCTAGCGAGAGGGCGCTGCGCCCCCCCCCGCCCTTCCTGCACCGACCCGCCTGGGTGCGTGCACGGCCAGGCCTCCATCCTGGCACGGCCAGCGCCTACCCCTCCAAAGCGGCCTTGGGTTCCCATCTGGGCGCCTGGCGTGGAATGTGTGCGGGAACCTGCGTCCCTGGGAGGAGGTGCACCACGTGGGAGCGTGTCCAGTGGTGGGAGCACTGACCTTTGGCCTCGACGTGGCTGCTGTGGCAGCCCACAGGGTGTGGTCAGCGACGAGACCCTGACCGCAGCCACTGCCCCACGCGGACGACCGCGCAGGCTCCAGTTACTCGGCTGAGGCTGTGGTTCTGGAACAAGACAGAAACAAACATGGTGAAAGCAAGTGTGGGGCGTTCAACGTGCCCACATGTCCAGACGCGTGGATGTGGCGTGTCCGAGAGCGCGGCTCAGAACCGATGGCGCACGGCACATCTGGCCGCCCTGAGCGCCGCCCGAGCTCCTTCAGATGACCTCCCACTCGTCCTCCAGGTCCTCAGGGTGCGAGGTGGCGGTCGGGCTGCTCTGGGCACCGTGTGCGTGGCTGAAGGTCCGTGTGAGCCGCTGGAGGAGGTAGCCGGGCGGGCCCACCGCCCACAGCTCATCTGACGAGGTCACTGCAGGGACAAGAGCGGCCACAGTGAGCACCCAGAGCTCCACGTCCTGACAGGGCCCTTTCTGGGTGTGGGGCCAGACGCCCCCCACCTGTGCCTCTGTTTCCTCAGGTTGCCCTGTCCCCTCCTGGAGGCCCTGGCAGAGCCGGGTACAACTCCCCTCCCTCAGGATCACCCAGGGCTGGCTTTGGGGAGAGGGAGTCCGGGGGAGCCGCCTGGACAGCCGCTGACACGGTCCAGAGCCTGGATTCGGGGAGGCCTGCGCAGCCCACACCCGGACCTGCCTGTGAGGCACGTGGCGTGCCCGGGCACTTTCTTCCAGTAGTCCCCCGCGGGGTGCTTGTCGGTGACGCCGTAGCGCCGGGCGAGGTCCCCGTTGGGGCAGCGGGCCCACACGGTCCTGGTGCTGAGCGCCAGCTGGCAGGCCTGCAGCCCTGTAGGCAAGAAGGGCGTCCGTCTGTCCTCAGACCCCGGCTGCGGGCGGATGCACCAACCCTCCCAAGAGCCTGCTCTCTCCCGCCACTGCGCCCGTCCCGCCATGTGCCCGTCCCGCCGCTGCACCCGTCCCGCCATGTGCCCGTCCTGCCGCTGCACCCGTCCCGCCATGTGCCCGTCCCGCCGCTGCGCCCGTCCCGCCACTGCACCCGTCCCCATGTGCCCGTCCCGCCGCTGCGCCCGTCCCGCCGCTGCGCCCGTCCCGCCACTGCACCCGTCCCGCCATGTGCCTGTCCCGCCACTGCACCCGTCCCCATGTGCCCGTCCCGCCATGTGCCCGTCCTGCCGCTGCGCCCGTCCCGCCACTGCACCCGTCCTGCCATGTGCCTGTCCCGCCACTGCACCCGTCCCCATGTGCCCGTCCCGCCGCTGCGCCCGTCCCGCCGCTGCGCCCGTCCCGCCATGTGCCCGTCCCGCCGCTGCGCCCGTCCCGCCGCTGCGCCCGTCCCGCCATGTGCCTGTCCCGCCACTGCACCCGTCCCCCATGTGCCCGTCCCGCCATGTGCCCGTCCTGCCGCTGCGCCCGTCCCGCCACTGCACCCGTCCTGCCATGTGCCTGTCCCGCCACTGCACCCGTCCCCATGTGCCCGTCCCGCCGCTGCGCCCGTCCCGCCGCTGCGCCCGTCCCGCCATGTGCCCGTCCCGCCGCTGCGCCCGTCCCGCGATGCGCCCGTCCCGCCGATGTGCCTGTCCCGCCACTGCACCCGTCCCCATGTGCCCGTCCCGCCATGTGCCCGTCCTGCCACTGCGCCCGTCCCGCCATGTGCCTGTCCTGCCGCTGCAACCGTCCCGCCATGTGCCTGTCCCCATGTGACAGCTGAGGGAGAGGGTGCCCATCGGCAGAGCCGCCGAGAGCCCGAGACGGAAGGACAGAGGGTCCGGCGGTGCCGCTGAGCCCCGCTGGCCTGTGCACAGCGCCGGGGGACAGGCTGCAGTGGCACCTCGGGGGGGCTGAGGGGCAAGAAGCAGCCAGGCGACGGAGAGCCAGGGTGCAGGCTGGGCCCTCACGCCAGCAGCCCTCAGGCACAAGGATCCGAGTGTGAAACCTTGGCTACCAGGCTAGGCTGACGGCCAGGGCCTGCCTGGGGGGACAGCGCCATGCCACCCATGCCCACCTGGCACGTGATCCCAGTCGGTCCCCACGGGCATCTCCTCGGTGATCCCGACGCGGACGTGCACGTTGCACCGGCTGTCGAGCGCCCACAGCATCTGGTCGTTGGGGCTGCAGTGGACGCTGACCAAGGTGACCCCGGCAGGCTGCGGGTGCGAGGGAAGGAGTGGGAGGGGGTCGTTATTTTTGGACAGAGCAAGGCGAGGTCAGTGACGCAGCAACGGGAGATTCTAGAAACTTTTGCTGATTCCTGCTTGCTAGCCTGCCAGCCACTCAGCCACACGTCACCACCCACGCATCCACTCATGCCCCCACCACCTACCCAACAGGTGTACTTGAGCATCTACCACATGCCAGGCACTGTGCCAGGAGCTGGCAATCAATTTTCTTGTCTCCTGGATTTTGTGAAAATTTTTTTTAATGATTTCAGAGAGAGAGGGAGAGGGAGAGAGTGATAGAAACATCCATGATGAGAGATAATCATTGATTGGCTGCCTCTTTTAAACTGTTACTGGGGATCAGCCCCGCAACCCGGGCATGTGCCACTGAGCCACACCAGCTGGGTGTCTCCTGGATGTCAAGTCCTGTGAGAGACAGCCATTACTCAAATAGTCACACAGAGAAACAGGAGGCTGCCCCAGGCAAAAGCTGCCCAGGTGAACGAGGCGCCCAGACCACATAACTGGGTCAGACCCAGAGGTCAGGGAAGCCGGCCTAGATCCCACCCTATACCAAGATGGCAGGATGAACAGGAATGACCCAGAGAGGAGGGCAGGGGAGAGTGTGCCAGGCGGGGGAAGTGTCTGCAAAGCAGGGGCACGGGGACACAAGGGGCTGAAAGCCCTGTGAACCACTGGAGGAGGTAGCCGGGGGCCCACTGCCCACCGCTCAGGCGGCTGGAGTGGGCGGGGCTGGGCCGGGCAGCACTGTGCAAGGGGCATCTCCTCCATAAGCAGTGGAGGCCTGCTGGGCACCAGGGTCCGGGACGCCGGGGCTGACGGTTCAGGGAGCTCTGGAGACATGCCTGAGAGCAGATGCAGGAAACAAGATGCAACGTGCAAGACTGAGGACGCAGGGAGGTTAGGTGGGTGCACCCCTGCATCAGGGAGGTCAGAGGGCACACCGCCTGCATTGGGGAGGTCAGAGGGCGCACCGCCTGCATCGGGGAGGTCAGAGGGCACCCCGCCTGCATCAGGGAGGTTAGAGGGCACACCACATGCATCAGGGAGGTCAGAGGGCGCACCACATGCATCAGGGAGGTCAGAGGGCACACCACATGCATCGGGGAGGTCAGAGGGCACACCACATGCATCAGGGAGGTCAGAGGGCACACCACATGCATCAGGGAGGTCAGAGGGCACACCACATGCATCAGGGAGGTCAGAGGGCACACCACATGCATCAGGGAGGTCAGAGGGCACACCACATGCATCGGGGAGGTCAGAGGGCACACCGCCTGCATTGGGGAGGTCAGAGGGCACACTGCCTGCATCGGGGACGTCAGAGGGCGCACCACATGCATCGGGGAGGTCAGAGGGCACACCGCCTGCATTGGGGAGGTCAGAGGGCACACTGCCTGCATCGGGGACGTCAGAGGGCGCACCGCCTGCATCGGGGAGGTCAGAGGGCGCACCGCCTGCATCGGGGAGGTCAGAGGGCGCACCGCCTGGCACTTGGGAGAATGGGGTTAAGTGGCGGCAACAAGGAAAAGACTGCGGGTGATATGGCAGCAAAGGATCTCACAGATGTCACCCACTGTCTGCCACCCACCTGAGAGCTCCTGAACACGGCCCGAGACATACTGCTTCACAAATGTCACCTGGGAAACTCCCAGGGACCTTACTCCAGTGGCCAAGCAGGGCCAATCGGGTGAATAGCTGCAGTCTGTGCAGGCTGCTCTGTACACACACCGGCCATTTTCAAACTAGGAAACGCTCTTGAACCCAAGTCCCTCCAGAGTAAGAACGGCTAGTGGTTCTCAAACCTTGGAGTCCCTGGACGTGTGTGGGGGCTGTTAAAACGGCACATTCAGGCACTAGCCGGCCTGGCTCAGTGGTTAGTTTCAGCCCACAGTTTGAAGGGTTTGATTCCGGTTAAAGGCATGAATCTTGGTTGCAGGCTCGATCCCCAGCCCCAGGTCGGAGCTGCAGGAGGCAGCCAATCAACGTCTCTCTCTCAAATGATGTTTTTCTGTCTCTCCCCCTCCCTTCCACTCTCTCTAAAATCAATGAAAAAATATCCTCGGGGGAAGATTAACAAAAACAGAGGCACACTGGGGGCTGGGGCCAACCCTTATGCATCAGACTTTGGGGCTGGGGCCCCGAAACAACCTTGTAGACAAACACCCGGGTGCTTCTGATTCAGGGGCCACTAGGCTCTCCACTCTGTCAAGCACAGGCAAGGCGAGACCACACACACGCACAGACACGCGTGCGCACACACACATGCACACACACAGACACACACACACACAGCCCAGCTGGTATTGAGGCAGAAATGGAAAAGCTCATCCTAGAATTCATGTGGGGCTGCAAGGGATCCCGAAGGTCAGAACAGTCTTGAAAAAGAACAAATTTGGAAGTCTCGCAATTCCTGCTTTCAGGACGACTCGGACGCTGCGGCGGTCACACAGCGAGGCCGGTCCCCTGAGACAGGCCAGCCCACGGGGCAGACCCGAGAGCCGTACCACGCAGTCGAGTGGTGCTGCCCAGGGCGCCAACACTGCGAGTGAGAAAGCGGCTTCCCGGCAAATGGAGCCGGGACAGTCCTTGCCTCACGCCCCCTTCAGAGCAACGCGAACGGGTCAGAGTCAGCGTGGGAGCTAGACCTGCCAACGGTCCTTACACGACACCAAAGATAGCAGCGACACAAAGGTAAACTGGGCTTCATCAAAATTCACAACTTCCGCACCTCAAAGGGCACCACAAGGAAAGTGAAGAGACGCCCGCAGAAGGGGAGAGAACACTTCCAGATCACTGAATAGGGCCTAGGGCAGGGGTGGGCAACCCCTGGCATGCGTGCCATGTTTGGCATGCTAGTAACTCTTGCTGGCACGCGAAACCTTCTCTTATAATCTTCCATTTATAATTTTTTTCTTAATACGACATTTTTATTTTTCAGATAAATTCAGAGTAGGTGCATCTTAGATAAATAAATAATTTTACATAACAAGTTCTCTTAAAGACCATAGACATGGATTGACGAGAGAGGGGAAGAGCAATTTCTATGCCTCTGCCTTAACTCTCCCTGCCTTCCTAGATCCGAAGAGTGTTTTGGTTTCATCCACATACGCTTGTGAATCTTTGTTCTCAGTGATGAATTTTGTTAAGTCTCGGAACAGGAGTAGCCTGACAGATGAAAGTAGTAGCTCGTGCAGATCTCTGAAGGTCACGAAATATAAACCTGAGGTAAAATCTGTCATCAGTGATGCAGCAGCAAAGTCCCACTGATACTATCAAACGGAGTCAGAAAGTTTTCTGTCGGACAATCAGTGTACATGTATACACTGAAAAATAAGTGTATTTTTCATCATCATATACTGTGTTTTTGTTGCTCGAATGAATTTTATTATTTCTTCAAGGTTCTTCACATACGTACACCTTAAGAGAGATCAGGTAGGCGTACCATGTTCTCAAAAAATGAGGGTTGGCGCACAGAAGAATTCTGAGTCAGATTTTGCTGGTTTTGGCACGCACTCACAAAAAGGCTGCCCACCCCTGGCCTAGGACCCCGAATACAGAACTTTTAAAATCCAACAACAACAAGAGAAACAACCACGTTTTTAAAGGACAAAGGACTCGGAGAACCACTTCTCCAGCCCTGGCCGGTGTGGTTCGGTCGGTTGAGCATCATCCCAGGCACGAGGTGAGGGTTCAAGCCCTGGTAGCGCAAGTGCAGAAGGCCGCCGGCCCACGTTTCTCTCCGTCTCTCTTCCCCGCCTTCCTCTCTCTCTAAAAATCAACTAAAACATGCACCTTAAAAAAGACATTTCTCCAAAGATAGCAAAGGCCAACAAGCACATGCAAAGGTGCCCGACATCGTCCACTAGCCCGTGGGAATGCGAGTCAGAGCACAGCGCAGCCCTCCTCACACCCACAGGGCGTCTGGAGAAAGGAAACGGAACAGAACAAGCTAGGGAGCGCGTGGAGAACAGGGACCTCCCTCCCATGGGGTGTGGAATGGAGAGCAGGCTGCAGGCCCAGGGGTGAACAGCCCCACCCAGCAAGCCCACGCGGGAACATTTACCCAGAGCACTGGAGCGGGCCTCAGCCCACAGGCAGGCACGGCCACAGCAGTGGAAGTCTTCACAACAGCCCCGCCCGCACCGGAGGCCCGGACACAGAAGGTGGTGCTCGCCGCCCGGCCCGCCCCCAAGCGACACGGCAACAGAGGGAGTCATGTGAATTGTCGGCTCCCCGGGGGTTTCACAGCGATGGTTACATTCGCTGTAGTAACGGCCGTTTTCATTCTAGGTTACCGGTACACACCGAGCAGGAAACACGTTACTGCCAAACAATGCTGAGCGCCGCCTGAGCCTGGGAGCGGGGCGGATTGTGCGGGGGCCGCGCTCGCTGGACGGACACGCAGGCCTGCGAGGCGCAGAGACCGAGCTCTGCCTGCAGTGGGATCTCGCTCGGGCCTGACCCTGACACAACATGGGCCTCAAAGCCCGGACAGCACGTGAGCAAAGCCCCCCTCAGGCCGCGTGCCTGAGCCGTTTCCAGGAGGAAAACCCACCGAGAGGAAGCGGGTCAGTGCTTCCAGGGAAGAGAGGGGGTGGGGACTGACCCTGGGCACAGGGCTTCCTTCTGGGTGATGAGAATGTTCCGGAGCCCTGGCCAGTGCGCCAAGTGGTTAGTGCCGGCCCGTGCACCAGAGGGTCGCAGGTTCGATTCCCCACCAAGGGCAGGTACCAGGGTTGCAAGTCCGATGATTTCCGCCCCTGCTCGGGGTACATGTGGACAGCAACCAATCGATGTGTCTCTCACATGGATGTGTCTCTCTCCCTCTCTCCCTTCCACTCTCTCTAAAAATTATTCTCACTCGGGTGAGGATTACAAAAAAAAAAAAGAGAGAGAATAAGGGACAGAAAAGCATCCCTGCAGATGGTCAGAGAGACATGCTTACAAAACAGACAGAATTGATC